TGACTTTATTACATCTAATTTTATTTCTTCTCACATCCTTTAAGCTTTGGGTCCTTGGTACTTGGCCTCTTCTCTTTTCCAGTTGCTCCTTCTTGCTGCTGTATCCCGCCTTCTGATTGCAAACAGACTCAAGATTTGCATAGCCACGCTCACCCCAAGAAAACATGTCTTGATTATATTCTGTCTTCTATATTTCTTTTCAACCTTTCTTAACTCCTGAGGCTATTCTTATGTACTTGATTTCTGCAGCATCCCTGTCCCTCCTCACTAGCTCCTACCCCGTTCCTACTGTTTCACTGAATCGTCTTAATCACCAGTGAGCTATTAATTACTAAATCCAGAAGGATTTTCTAAGCTGTTATTCTTCTCTATAGAATTATTGGTCAGACGATCAGTTTAAAAATTACCACAAGCATTTAAAAATAATATACTTGCCCTTAAATGCTTTGTTAGAATAGAAAAGATGCGTGTAAGAGAAATAACATTAGGAAACATACATGGATCTAATAGAAAGATTAGACACGAAGGGAGGAGAGACTTGGAAGTTCACAGAAAGGTGGGTTATGCAAAGACTGGACTCAGGGAAGATTTTAAGGTAGACATGAAACTTATGGAAACTTAGATCATTCATTGTATTTTATCATTAGATTTCAGTCTACTAAAGATACCATACACCAGAGTATAAAGGGGCCTGGATATTTTTATCATTAAGAAGTGGAAGAAATTAGGTTATGCTTATAGTGAAATGAAAGGGTTCAGAGAGTGTTGAGTTTATTGTGGCTTTGATAGGTCTCAAAACACCTCCACAATTTCCTTGGAAGATCAAAAGAAAAGTTGATGTGCTTACGAAGAAAGAAACTTGTATAAATTACCGATGAGGTTACTTTTGAGAAAAGGAGACTGTATTTCATCTCCTGAATTACCATGAGGGAGGGAGGGATGCACAAGGGTGGAGAGTGTGCAGAATCTCTGGTCATGGGGGCTGTTCTCTATAAAGAACATTAGCAAAGGGGTATTAGGAGGAATCCTCAGACACAGGATAGGGAACATTGTATAGGGCCCATGTTTTGGGAAATAACAGTTGTGTCAAAATGCAGCTCTTGCTGTAAAAGTGTAGTCTACGGGGTGCCTAATGATGGAAGAGTTTGCAAGTGTAAAAGTGTAGTCTACGGGGTGCCTAATGATGGGAGAGTTTGCAAGGAATAAATTAATCTTGATGTTCTCTACTTTTCCCCTAAGTATAGTTCATTGCCAGCTGCTACATCATAAATTTAGTTTTTTTTTCTTTTTGCCTCAGGGAGGTTTTTAGAATAGAATATCTAATCTGTTGCTGAAAAAAAATGTATAAAGAATCACAAAAGGTGTTTCGTTCCAAACTTTTTGAAAAAATTTATTTGTATGAAGGAACAGCTCCCCCGAGGCCATGCGGTTGTTGGCAGTAGGCTTATGATCAAGGCACTACCAATTTTGAAGGCCCCATGAATTTTTTTTTAAATGAGGCTTTTACTGTGTAGCCCAGGATAGCCCAGGGTGGCCCAGGGTAGCCCTCATGATCCTCCAGTTTAGTGCTTTGATTACAAGTGAGCATCACTAGGCTCCAACTTGCTGTCTGTAGTTTCAGAAGACCCGTAGCCTTTCTCTATGGTTGTGCTCAAACTTAATCATCCGCAAAAGTACCATTCGATCCTGAACATTCTCAGACAATGAAGATAATGTTGACTATGCATTAAGGTGAATACAAGTAAAATAACAAGTTAAAAAAGCCTTGGGCAACACTAAACTGACTGTTCTCCGATTCTGGGTCATTTTATGTTTACTTTCATTTACTTTTGCCAAGCTGCAGAGCAGAAAGAGAATTCAGAGCAGACTAGAAAGTACAGCTTAGGACTCAGAAAAGAGGATGGAGGATTTGAGTATCTTCCAGCTGTAGTTGCCCCCGGGCCTCTTCTAATTCCATAAAGTCTTGCTTTGCTAAGACTTTATTGACAAACTGAAATCAACAAGAATGCGAAGTCTTCTGCAACGCAAGCTTTTTATTATGTTTTGCCTCAACTTAATGACAAGTTTAGGGAAATGGTTTAGTTTGTTAAGTTGTCCTCAGGAAAAGTGAATTTGCAAAATGTAAGTATAAACCCAATGGCTTAAATTGTTCTTTGCTGATGATTGAAAAACTTCACTGAGAGCACTTGCAATCTAATTTTAAAATGACCCAAGGAGAAGCTAAGCATCCTATCTTGTTCTGTAAGACTTAGAAGCCACTTACCTTATTTGCATTTCAATGTAGATGGCGCTGAGACAGGTCAGATTGAATATTATAGAGGAAGAGAGGCACAGGGACTTGTACCACTTATAAAGAATTTGGTATAAGAGAGGGTGTTGTAACTGAAACAGATGAACTTTACAGGATGAATTGTTTTTAATGGGAAGCTGAGGATCTTTGAAACCCATGGAACATTCTCTCCCAGTTTCTTCATTGGCAGGCTATATACAACACTAAGCTGATTAGAAAGCTGTGGGCCTGTCCCTAGCAGCTCAGCTAGCAAGGGGATCCTGACTCATGCCTGGTGTTAATTCCTCAGGAATATATTCCTACTATGGGGGGGGGCAGAGTTGTAAGGGCTTATCTGCTTTGGTTTTAGCTTCTTGGCATTTCTCTAAGGCCCCTTAAGAGCCAGGAAGTGGTGGAAAGGAGGAGGGCAACAAAAATTCCATGTATCATGCTTGTCAAGTGATGCATTTCAAAAATCACTGTTGAGACTTGGACTTACAAGACACAGAGGACTCATATCCTATAACATTTGTTACTGGTAGCAGTGAGCACTCTGGCTGGACCAGCCCCCTTCACTCATTGGGCTTTTTGTTATTTTGGAAAGGAAGTGTAGAGCCCAAGATTAGCTTTTACTGGAGAAAAATGAAGCTAATGATTGGCTGCAAGCATGTCCTGGCCTTGCAACTACTGAGAAAGTAGGCTGTGTATACAAAGCCTCTCCCCCAAACCCCTAGTTTCTAAAATCTAAAGCCCCTGCTAACTTTATGGACCTGGGAGCTGGGCACATATTCTCCCTGACAATACACTTAGGTTTAACCTTTGGCTTAATATCTCCTCCTGTCACTATCTGAAAATCCTGTTACTTTTAAACAAAGGTTCTGCCTTTTTGCTTTGTAAAGTCTACAGTTTATGTTCAGTCCCCTGCTTCTTAAGATTCTAGGCAAATGTATTTGTATCATCAAGAAAGTGTGCCTAGAAAAGGTAATGAACATAAAGTAAACTTAGTCATTAGTGGGTATCCGGTAAATGCATTTAGCCTGAATAAATGAGTGACCTTAAAATCCTAAAAACAAACAAACAAACGAAAACCCAAAAAACCAAAAACCAAAACCAACAAAACACAAAAATTAAAAAAATAAAACCATTTAACCTGAATTTTAGTTAATTTAGCTTTAAAAGGTATGGAGTAGGGGAAATCACTCTAAATTTTGAGAAAAAAATAAAAGTAATTTAAAAGCTCTAAAATAGTATATATATATATATATATATATATATATATATATATATATGTATTGTATTTATTATTATCATAATAATATATGCAGCTATTATTTTGTTCTATTGGCTTAAATTATTTATTTAAGAATATAAAGGAATCACTTATCTGTCAAGATCACCTCTGATACCACTTATCTCCTGTCTCGCTCACTAGTAATCAAAGCTCAACTTTAAATTTGACATACTCCCCCTATTTGTTACCTCTTTCTAATACTAAGAATAATGCGGAAATTTTCATGTTCTGTACATGATGTGAACCAATACACATCATTTTGTAGTTTGCTATTTTATCCAATGTGCTATTTGCATACCCTGTGTTGATTCTGCTATATCAGTTTATTCTCTTCAGTCTGTAGAGTCGTATGAAACTCGCTCTCCTGACTTGCAGCCTGGGTTACTGTAAGGGCATGTTAGAAACATATCTAGTGGAGCTTTCTTTGGTTTGTGGTTCTGCCACTATCCAAGGTAAAGGACACTAGCTGGAATACTGGGAAAGCCCAGAGATGGTTTACATTCACCAAACAGGATTAATAATTTCTACCATTCAGGATATTTTTTGCGATATTTAAATGAGACAGTTAAACCTGGCATAGACTAGACATGCAAAGCCTCGTGCTAGAGATTATCTTACTATGACATCTAAACTGGAGTATCGTGTGGCCTGAAGCGAGGACATAATGGTGATGTTAAATGTATGCTTTACATTCTTATTGTACCTTTAGCTTAACTATCAATTTTGCTTTTTAAAATAACAATAATTGTGTTTTACTCTTAAAACGTAGTCCTGTATATACCATAAATTCTCAGGTCTGTCTTTTACCAAATATTACTTCTAATACACCCCCATGAAATGAGAAGGTTTGAATTCTTCAAATAAGGAAAAGGTCACACTATCCATAACACCTTGCTTCTGTTCGCTATGCAGTTCGAAAGGGATGAATATCTAGCATTTTCTGTTTCATGTCCCTAAGTAGGTAATAACAGTAATGAGAATTCTGAAGTTGTGGTGGCATGCTGCTGCATGACAAGCTGACTTGGAAATTAAAATGTGAAACAAAAGCAGAGATTTTCTTCAGCTTTTAGAAAAATCAGAACAGTTCAATATTTAATAGAGTCATCTGACTGAAGTCTCATGTGTACTTAGAAACTTGAGGGAGTTGTACTGATGACTCAACAATTAAGAGTGCTTACAGCTCGTCATGAGGGCCAGAGTTTAGATCCCAGCATGGATGTAACAAACCCCACATCCCACAGACAACTGTAATCCTAGACCTGAAAGATACAGCAATGTTTTCTGGGTCCTCTGTATACAAAGACACACAAGTACCTGCAAATGCATGTGAACATATGTTAATATGTGAATATATGCATAAGCAAAATGAACCTTAGAAACTTGGACTTGTATTTTGCATATCCCTGTGTTTTCAAACATGATATTTTCATTATTCAACAGATTTTATACAATTCGATATAGAGAAAAAGATAAGGAAAAGAAATGGATTTTTCAACTCTGCCCAGCTACTGAAACAATTGTGGAAAATCTAAAGCCCAACACAGTTTATGAATTTGGTGTGAAAGACAATATAGAAGGTGGAATTTGGAGTAAGATTTTCAATCATAAGACTATTGTTGGAAGTAAGTATTTATTTGGTTCAATGAAATATTTATTTTTTAATTTGAAATCATTCTATTCTTAGTAGATATTTTCTTTATTTACATTTCAAATGTTATCCCCTTTCCCGGTACCCACCCAAGAAACCCCCTATTCCACCCCTTCCCCCTGCTTCTATGAGGGTGTTCCCCCACCCACCCAACGACTCCCACCTCCCCGCTCTGGCATTCTCCTACACTGAGGCATCAAGCCTCCACAGGACCAAGGGTCTCTCCTCCCATTGATGCCTGACAAGGCCATCCTCAGCTACATATGTGGCTGGAGCCATGGGTCCCTCCATGTGTACTCCTTGGTTGGTGGTTTAGTCCCTGGGAGTTCTGGGGAGGAGGGTTCTGGTTGGTTGATATTGTTGTTCTTCCTATGGAGTTGCAAACCCCAAGAGGAGGCTGATATGGCTGTCTCCCAAGAGACTCTGCTAGAGCCTGACAAATACAGAGGTGGATGCTTGCAGCCTACCATTGGACTGAGCACAGGGTCCCCAGCGGAGGAGTTAAAGAAAGCACTAAAATATTTATTTATTCTTTTTTAGTTGTCAAGTTTAAAACGTTTCACTAGCTGTATAATATAAGTTCATTTTCATGTTATTTTCAATAGTTAACGTGTTCTAGTATTTAAAAATACAAAATAAATAGAATTTATACATCATTATAATGTGTTTTTTAAAAAAATAATGAACAATGTGATGTTTCCAGCTATGTCGCTGTAGTACTTTAAAAGATATATTTGACCTATGAACAGCAACTGAGCTGAACAAATCAAATGTCAATATGTATAAACGTCACATGGAAAGGAAGGCCAGAGGACCACAGCCTACTACAGGGAGCCCTGAACTTCTCTTCCTTACCTGTGCTCACAAAGCATTGGGATCAATTTTTGAAATGAGAGTAAATGAAACTACATAGACTGTGGCTTGGAATTGTCCCCACAGTGATCTAGAATTAAGGAGCAGGAATATTAAAGTGATGACATAATGACATTTCCTCTTTATTTTCAGGTAAAAATAAAGTAAATGGGAAAATCCAAAGCACTTATGACCAGGTCCACTCAGTGGTAGGTGCCAATTTTTTAAGAGTTTTCTTTAAAAGTAATATAATTGTGTTTCTGCTTAGAGGAGGGGGACGGCCCTACTTGTAAGGTACTAAGATTATCTACTGGACACTGAGTAAACGCTTAATGATTTAGGAATTAGCTGCTTTTTTTCCTGGAAATGATAGACATTTGCTTCTAGACCCTTTATAATTTCTGTAAATTCATAATTCACAATTCAGAGATTCGATGCAGTTATTCTAGTATTTGTGTATTTTAGAGTATTTCAAGATTTTATTCATTCTGTCTTGTGAATGTTTTTTGAAGATTTGTTCATTTAGTATGGTGTGTGTGTGTGTGTGTGTGTGTGTGTGTGTGTGTGTACAGGTACAGGTACCTGTGGAGGCCAGGAGAGGGCATCAAATTCCCTGGAACTCCAGATAAGGGCAACTGTGAGACACATAACTCAGAATCCAATCCAGATCCTCTGGAAAAGCAGCAGTTGTCACTAACCACTGAGTGGGCTGTTTTTCATACAACACTTTAAGAGTCGACTGATAGCAACATGTCCTAGGTACAGTGATAAAGTTCACATTTTTTTACATTTTGGAATGATGAAACAACCAACTTGGTTTCGAAATGTACCCAACCTCCAGTCAGCTCTATAAATGTTCATGTTTTGAGCCTTACAGTTCCCACCTCCAACTCTCATGGAAACTCTTAGGTCTACACACCTTTACCATTTTCTCTTGGTTCAGTAAATTGTCCTCATGAACCGTCTTATCATTATGTATGACGTAAGGCATTGTTAAAATCATCAGTGAGAGATGGTTGGTATTTCACATCATATACTCAAGTGTAAGGTAAAAGATGCTACATTATTGAGCAGGTAGAAGAGGCACCAGGGTGAGAGAATGAGAACTTGGTACTGACTTGCGTTGCCATGTGTTTCCATGCCAATCAAATGGGCATAAAGGGGCTTAGTGTGATTTTTCTTATTTTTCTAACCAGATAACTTGGACCCTGCTAGTCCTTTCTCTCTCACTCCCTGACTCCCTTATTCTAGCAATGGTCCCTTTTTACTTTCTTTCCACCTGTAGTTACTCTAGGTTGTTTACTCTCATCTGAAGATTTGCAGCTAGGGACTCCAATGAGAGAACATATCACATTTTTTATTGTTTTATTTTTTTTTCTGGGTCTGGGTACCTAACTAAATACAGTCATTTCTAGTTTCATCCATTTACCTGTGAAGTTAATGATTTATTTTTTTCTCCACAGCTGAATAGTATTTTATAGTGCATGCGTACCACATTTTTATTATCAATTTGTCAATTGAAGGATATTGGGTTGTCTCTATTTCCTACCTATTGTAAATAGAGCAGCAATGAACATGGCTGAGTGACTCTCTGTAGTCATTTGGGTACATATGCCAAGGAGTTAGCATAGCTGGATGATATGGTAGATTTGTTTGAGCATACCGAGAATCCTCCACATTGATTTTTCACGGCAGCTGGACCAGTTTGCAGTTCCACCAACAGTGAATAAATGCTCTCTTTTTCTGGCACCCCTCTAGCATTTGGCAGTTGCTCTGCTGAACTTTTCCATTCTGACTGGAATAAGATGGCACCTCAAAGTCATTTTGATTTGCATTTTCCTAATTGCTAGGGACAATGAAAATTTTAAAAAATCTCAATAGTATGATTTTTTATAAAATCAACTATGGCAGATTTTTATAAAATTGGATGTTCCAGATTTTGGTGCATATATGTTTAGGATGGTGATGACTTCTTACTTAATGGTTCCCTGGTGAGAATAACATGTCCTTTATCTTTTCTGATTAGCCTAAGTTTGATTTGCTCTTCCCTGTCAGACTATAGGAGAGTGATGCTTTCTTCCTGGTCCCATTTGACTGAAGCTCTTTTCTTCACCTTTTTGCTCTAAATGTGTGCTGTTCTTTAAAGCTGAAATGTGTTTCGTGTAGACAATGGATAGATGGATATTTTTCCTTGGTCCATTTAGCCAGCTTGTATCTCTTTATTGCAGAACTGAGGCCATTATGTGTATTGACTGCAGTCATGCTGGAATGCATCACTCCAGGCTCTTCGGCTTTCATTCTTTCCAGTAAGAACTCGGCTGTTGTGATGCACTTTCCTTGATGATGTGACCTGTGGTTTTTCTCTTGTCACTTCAGTATTCTTTGTCTGTTCTGTATGCTTTTGGTCTGTACCATTGATCTGGATTCTTCTCTCTCACCTACTTCTATAATCTGAGGATTTTTTTCATTGTTTCCCACAGTTTCTGTATTCTGCTTTCCAGTCACTTAAAGATTTTTTTTCATATTCTTGGGTCATTTCATCCAGATTCTCTACTTCTTCTTCTTCAAGTCCTGATATTTTTATCTTCTGCTTGATTCATGCTGCTTGTAAGGCTTTCCCTCAACTTTTCTGGTTGGGTTATGGGGATTTTTCAATTTCATCCTCACTTCTGCCCAAGTCATCTTTAATATTTCTATATCTTTATCGAATTTTATTTTTAAAATTCTGTATTGCCTTTGTCATTTGCATCTGTTGTATGTTTGTGGTTTTCAGGCAACACTGAGTTGTTTTGTTCACTGAGCTGCTTCTCTGTGTTTTCTTTACACCTATTGAATTCCTTGATGGAGCTTATGGTTGTTCTTCTAGATTCTGTGTCTTGAGGTTGATCCGGTAATTGTTGTGGGGAAAATTTCTAGGACTGGTAGAATTGGTTGGGAGATACTGCCTTGCTCTTTTAGTTTGTTTGTACGTTTACGATGAGATCTGGACATGAGGACCTCCTTCCTCTGTTTGTCCTGTGTCTGATATGGACAGAGCAGGTTGGAGCAAGACACAGGATGTGAAGGATAGTTCGAGCCTAAGAGTTAGATATGACTTATGTCAAAGGAAGTCACATGGACATGGGGCTGCATTGGTGTGTAGGGTATGCATCTAGATCCAACCTGAAGTTTATGACATTATTCTCTGGGCATCATCAAACTTAAATTACATGATCATTGACTTACTCAGTTTCCAGGTTGTAGGCATTCTTATTACTTGTCATTGATTTTTAATTTGAAATAATTAAAATGCCTATTAACAGTTCAGATTTTTAACATTTTTAAGGCTCTTTAGTCTGAAAAGGCAAATTTCTTTCTAAGAAGATTATCCCAGGTTATGATATTACAAGTAGATAACAAGAGCGTATCCTGTTTATCAATAGTCTATATTTGTATCAGTAACTTTTGGTTAATATAATAACTTAATAGTTATATTAATTTTCATATCTGTGAGTGCTGATAGGGTGGTATTATCTTTGCTGTCTTTTTCCATTTAGTGGTCATTAGTTGTGGATCTTTGTTAACTGGGAATTGTGTGAAAATTTTCCTGACTAGGTTAAAGACTTTATGGAATAAAGGATCCTTTGTGACGTCATCTAAAAATATTTTTCTTATATTTGCTATCAACTTTGTTAGTGATAGTTGTTGAAATAGTCATATCTTGAAATGTGCTTCATCTAATAATTAGAATTTCATCTTATCTTCTGTTGTGTTATAGTTTCTGAAGCCTTTCCCTCTGCAGACAACAGATAAATGTATATCTTGCTTTTTAATTTTAGTTTTGGCAATAATTAAACACTGATCTCTAGATTTTCCTTTGCTGTTGTATACGGCAAGACTCTGCATTTCTCTAAGGGATCAGTTGGCCTACTAGCGTGGTTTGAACCATGAGACTCGAAAGTCTCTTTGATTTTGTCTTTCTGGAGTCGAGAAAAACAAACCTGCTACATTGCACAGGAGGAACAGTAGGATACAGTTCCCATTTCATTCTCTTGCAGAACATTCTTCATTCTTTGTTGTAAATGGTTTCCTAGGGAGCAAATCTTATCCTGTACCCTCTTGTCTGCCTTGCCTAATCTTCATGTGATTTAATGATGTCATATCTTTCGTTCCTTCTTCTTCCACTACCACATGTCAATCATTTTTATTTGTTTTTGTCAGAGTACTTCACGTAGGATACATTATTAGTGAGGTTGGGAACAATGATTGGTACTTTGCCACAACAGAATTATTTTTTTTTCTTTTCATAAACAGCTGTGATAGGGCTGTGGAGGAACTTCCTGCATCTGTGATACAGAGCCAAAGTTGTATCACTTCCAGCTGCGAGGTGGAGCATCCCCAAATCCAGCCAGCTGTGATGAGCTATACTTTAGAACTCTCGGTTATTTCCAAAGGAAAACCCGAGTTCATTGAAAAGCTGTTTCAAAGCTCTGTGATATTCTCTTTATGAGCATCCTCTGGATAGCAGAAAAGTGTCTCATGAGCTGACTTCTGTGCTCTCAGGCAGCCTGAGACACAGGAAAGCTCAAAGGACTCACACAGGACAGCCTTTGGCCATAATGTGGTCACATAGGATCTATTCCAAAGTTGAATTAATACTTCAGATGTATATTTCAGTGCAAATGAAGTCTCCAAATATATTCCCATTTCTTCTCTGTGGCCAATCTTAAAAGGTGATATTTCAAGAGGCACGTGATGTCTTACTCTTAGTTCATTCACACAGGGGTTATAAACACAGAAAGGCAGGATGTGGGGAAGGGGATGACACTGGAGTGTGGGTGTTCAGGGGGAATACAGATATCTTTCAGAACCGGGTATCGGCTAGGTGAAGGTTCAGGGGAGAGGTCACTATGACTCTGCCTATGACTCACTTGTCCTTATCTAAGTTGGTATTGTCTGCCCAGGCTACCTATTTACAAGGTCTATGACTACTCGGGCTTATAAATTTCCACAAAAGCTGCCTGTTTACAATAGCTTATAGCCATCTGTTTCAATTTTTTTTTTTTTTACAGAGACCCAAGACTTGGTGTTAGTATACATGTATGACAGGCCTATTGGTGATTTTAGGCCTATGGCTGATTTTAGGCCTTCAGTGTATAAGCAGGGATGCCTCTGACATCTCCTCCCTTCTCTAACTATAGAAGAGCTGTGGCAATTCTAATCTTGCGAA